GTCGGAGGAAACTTTCATTTAAAGATATTTGCATTTAAGTCGCATCTATTCGGAGGTGAAGGATGTGCACCATATCTATTCCACGTTCAATTCGGAGGAGACTTGCGTTGAAAGATATTTGCATTTAAATCGCATCTATTTGAAGGTGAAGGATGTGCACCATATCTATTCCACATTCAAGTCGGTGGAGATTTGCGATGAAAGGTATTTGCATTTAAGTCGCATCTATTCGGAGGTGAAGGATGTGCACCATATCTATTCCACGTTCAATTCGGAGGAGACTTGTGTTGAAAGATAGTTTGCGATTTAAATCGCATCTATTCGGAGGTGAAGGATGTGCACCCTATTCCATGTTCAAGTATGAGGAAACTTGCGTCGAAAAATATTGTTAAGTCGCATCTATTCAAGGGTGAAGGATGTGCACCATATCTATTCCACGTTCAATTCGAAGGAGACTTGCGTTGAAAGATATTTGCATTTAAATCACATCTATTCGGAGGTGGAAAATGTGCATCCTATCTATTCCACGTTCAAGTCAGAGGAAACTTGCGTCGAAAGATATTGTTAAGTCGCATCTATTCAGAGGTGAAGGATGTGCACCATATCTATTCCACGTTCAATTCGGAGGAGACTTGTGTTGAAAGATAGTTTGCGATTTAAATCGCATCTATTCGGAGGTGAAGGATGTGCACCCTATTCCATGTTCAAGTCCGAGGAAACTTGTGTCGAAAGATATTGTTAAGTCGCATCTATTCAGAGGTGAATGATGTGCACCATATCTATTCCATGTTCAATTCGGAAGAGACTTGCGTTGAAAGATATTTGCATTTAAATCGCATCTATTCGGAGATGAAAGATGTGCATCCTATCTATTCCACGTTCAAGTCAGAGGAAACTTGCGTCGAAAGATATTGTTAAGTCACATCTATTCGGAGGTGAATAATGTGCACCCTATCTATTTCACGTTCAAGTCGGAGGAAACTTGTGTCGAGAGATATTGTTAAGTCACATCTATTCGGAGGTGAAGGATGTGCACCCTATCTATTCCACGTTCAAGTAGGAGGAAACTTGCGTCGAAAGATATTTGCATTTAAGCCGCATCTATTCGGAGGTGAAAGATGTGCACCTTTGTCTATTCACGTTGAAGTCGGAGGAGGCCGGCGTTAAAGGATATACATTTAGATCCTACCGATGGACATACATTCATATCCTACCGATGGATCATCTTCATATTCTACCGATGGATATACATTCATATCCTACCGATGGATCATCTTCATTCGTCGTATCGTAAAAAATGCTACCTTTTTCTTTAATTTTTGTCTCTAATAATGAGTTTTATCTTTATCTTTTCGAGAACATCCAACAAAATGCATTCTCAATTATGCCATAGGTGTGGACTACGTCAACAAGGATGCAACACAACGTGGAACCTTTTGGAGGCAAGTCCAGGATCGACTTCCACCACATTCCAACCACACTTTTATATAAAGGTCATATGTTCGGCCAAAATCGGGTTTGTCAATTTTCGTTGTCCATGATTTCTTTCATCAATCATATCCAACGAAAGGGACAACTGTTGACACCCAATTTTGGCCTAACATTTTCAAAATTCGTAACTTTTAGTTTTATTTATTTAATAGTTCAAAATAATATTTTTATATATAATTTTAAATAAGTTTATCGACCCTTGTTGAGCAATTATTGACCTTTACTAGCAGCCAAAACGGATTCCAAGAGAGGAGACAAGGCTGATTTGTCAAAGGGACATTTTGCCTTTTTTATGGAAATAAAACATCACCTTTTCCCCACCTACTTTTAGACTTTTGTTAAAGCATCACCTTTTCCCATCTACTTTTAGACTTTTGTAAAAGACATCTTTTTTAGTCTTTTCTCGTGGGACCTTGTCCTATTTCGTTTTTAGGACTTTATTTACAGATGGTATAAGCTATTGTATGTAGTTCATTTGAGTAGAAAACACTTGGAGAAATTTTTTGTTCATTCTAATTAAATTGTTATTTATGTTAAATTGCATTTTTTACATGTCATTAATTACGTTAAATACATATTTTTAGTATTCACGTTTATTCGTCGTTAGTATTCATTTTGATATTTTGCACAATCTAAAAATTCATTCAAATATGGATAAGATTTCATACACAGATATTTTATCAACCAACAATTTTGGGCCACAGTCTCAAGCCCATGATTTGAGCCCATTGTATAACAATTTTCTATTTAAGTTTTACTAGGTCAAAAGAATAAGTGGGTGAATTTTTTTAGATTGGAAGGAAGAATTCAAAATGTGTAAAAACACTAATTTATCTTCCTAGAGTTGCCGCCACCACCCAAACCCCATGTTTACTGCCTCCAGAACCCTTTTCCCATTGTTCATTTTTTTTCCGGTGAAGCAACCAGACCAACCACCTCCTGAAAACAGCAGCAAAATCCAGCAGAGCTCGGAGCTAGAGCAACCACCGCACACCACTATACCACCAGTGTTCACCCCTCTTCCGTTTCCACCAACCAAAATCACCAACAACAGCTCCACCACAAACCAAAACCCCAAACCAGAAACAAACCACCGCTCAACCACCATGAGCTCCACCGAAACAACCAACAACCCCTCTTCCTTTACTCATTTTTTTCGACTGAAACAGCCCCCAATCACCCCCAAACTCAAACTCCGACCAGCAGCGAAATACGGTATTCTGGCAAGCCAAAGCTTTGCCTCGCTGCATCTTTGTGCTCCAATGGACTGGAGCTGGCAGCAACTCACTTCGTTCCTTCAATGGGTAAAGTATTTGTTCTATTCCTTTATTTCTTGTGCAAAATATTGAGTTGACATTAATCTTAGATTCAGATTTTTGTGAGTTTTTGGTTGATTTACTCATTATAGTTGTTGACTATCATTATTATTTTATTATTTTGGTGGTAGAGCTTTAATTATTTTGGTTTTCTCTGGATATTGCTATTTAGTGTGGTTTATAGAATTTTTAAAAGATGTTATTTTGTTGATGTAGTAGTGAATTTTCGTTTGACTTGCTTAGTGTTATTTTTCTGTAACTTGAAAAGAATGTTTGCAAAGCCATCACTAGATTATTTGAACCACTGTTTAGTTTATTTTGATTCATTTGTTATGGTTACTCTTAATGTTATCATCGTATTGTCTATATTATTCATTAGGATTGTAGTATAATTTTGTTGACTTACATTTTCTCAGAGAACTTGTTTTGTTTGTTATTAATATTCATTTTGTTTTTTCGTTCTTCATTAGCGAATGATAAAATCTCTCCGTCGGTTTTGGAGGCCTCTACATTGTAAAAGACGAAAATTAGTTTAAGTTTATATATTTTGTTTGTTAAATTGGCCAATTAAGAAATTACCGTCGATTTCCAAGGCCTTCCATGTTAATAAGACGAGTTTTTATTTTAAGTTATTATTTGATTCATTTATTTTTATTCATATTTATTTATTACTAACACTTTTACTAAGTGTCTTTACAAGTACCCAAAGTTGCTTTCCATTGAAGCCATTTGAATGAAGTTCGAATTATATTACTTATGCATTATCTTGTATATATATCGATGTTAGGCAAACCTTAGGCCGTCTCTTATAGTATTGTTTTATTTTATTACTTGTGTATATTATTTTTATCTCCTCCTCAATTTGAAAAAATGAATTCAGTCGGGACCCATAGTTATGGATTTCGAAGGATGCTTAATACCTTCCCTTCGAAATAACTTGAACCCCTTACTTAGAATCTAATGGTTTCGTAGACATTTATAATTGGTTTCCTAGTTTTTCCTAAATTAGGTGGCGACTCCTTTAAAACTCATTTTTCCTTAAAATTCTTTTAAAATTGACTTAATTATTTATTTTTCGAGTCACCGCAACGTTTCTCCTTATTTAAATAAAGTAGGAATGTAAACAGGTACACTTATCTTAATTTAGTTAATTTTATCAGGAAAAGTTCATATTAGATTAACTATTAGGATGTGTTTTCCATCACTTTGAATACCTGTAGTACTTTGATAGATTAAAAAGTTCATCAATTTCGTTGTCCAACTGGATTCATTTCTTTGTTCGTGGATCTTATATTTTGACTTTTATAGCACACATTGTTGATAATAATTGACTTGAATTTTATTATTTATAATGTTTTTACAATATCACATATCTTCTATAACTTTATTTTAATGTTTGAAAATATCCTTCGAATCATAGGAAAAAACCAACTAAACTGACACTTTGGGAGGATTTTATTGATCAGGAGGGAGTTAAACTTTTCAACCAACTTCATGATTACTCGATCATTCTTGCTAGGAGAATTGGGAAATCATCATTGGGTAAAAGTGCAAATAAATTTATTTTTTTCTTTTTGGAAAATATATGACATGATGAAACTAAAATCACATATTCAAATGCACATAGGAACGTCGAATAGATTCGTTGGTTTGACGAGCAAATTCAATACAACAATTGAAATCAATCCTTCATATCCATAGGTTGTCGAGTTAAGGACGTGGTAATATACATTTTTATTTAATGCATCGAAATTTCAGAATATTTTGAGATATAAAACACATCTTTAATCTTACAATCACAAAGTTTTAAAATTTCACTTTTATTTCTTTTTTCATAATCTTTCTACAAGACATATATAATAAAATGAAGATACTAGTATTCTTATTTGTTTTTGATAAATGTATGGACCCTAGAATTCTTTACAATCCTTTTTACAATTTTCAAAATGATACAAGTGTTTTGGATGAGCCAATATTAATAAATTTTCATAATTTTACTTGTTTATAGGATCAAAAGAATTGAAACAAAGCTTGTTGCTTATAAGATGAAAAGTACAACTCCAATAGGCTCTATTATGTTAATTTCATTTGAGGATGAGGTTATATTTGTGGCTAACATCCAGGCACAACCTCCGATAAGAACAACAAGTATATTATTCTATTTTTTTAATTTTTTAATTTTACAGTAAAAAATAATATTTGGTATATTGAATTTGAAGGGACAAGTATTTAATGTTGAGGCTGAATTGTCCCTTGCAAGTAAGGATCAACGCTTTAGTGTGCTAGCATGCTCAAATTGTAAGCAATTGTTCACGAGATATAACGTGCGAAGGAAAATCTACTGTACAAGTTGTCACCATTCCACACATCTTAGTCCTAGGTATATTTGCTCTTCAACAAAATTAATAATAACTAATTAAGATTATTTATTTTATTTTTTCAAAGAAATAAATGTCTTAATTAACCATTATTTTTTAAATTTTCATTAATTATCAAAACAGATGTCAATTCAAAGTTACTATTAAGGACAACAACGATTGCAACAACTATTGTTTCAGATGAAATTGCAGAGAAAATGTTGCACCTCACTTCAGAAGAAATTTATGAGATTTGCTTCGTCAAGGTACATATTACTTTTTTCTCACCAAATAATCACAAAGAACTTGTTGTGATTTTGTACTTTCATTGTTACTTATTTCTTCTCTTGAATTTTGATTTGAAAATTCATGATCCTTACATATGCTATTGTTGTTGAACATCTTCTTTTATGGTAAAAATATCCGATCTCTTTCGATTTGTCTGTTCGCTTTATTTTCTTATTATTATATATATAAAATATTAATGATTTTTTATTATTAGTCAATTTTTTTCATTTTTTCATAAAGAAACATTATCGCTCCAAAATGTGGAAGATCAATTGAACGGCAAGATATTCAACATTCAAATGAAAAGGCTATTTACAAAAAATTGGATGCAACGCAAAAATTATCCATTTTGTCTTACCTGGAGAAACAAGATGTGATTATAAACCAATAACATCTACGAGACTATGACAGTCAATGTTACAGATGCGAAAAAGCGCACAATTGAACATCTTAGTTCAGGGGAAAAATAATATCCAAGCATGGAAAACAAATATAATTCTTCCACCCACAAACATAGCATGAAAATGAAAAATTCTCCCATGAAAAAAGAATTAAAAGGTATTTGAATTATTTTGTACATTGTTTAAAACTTCATCTTTGAAATTGACTAATATAAATATGATTTACTTATTTTTGTATTTATTTTCTTTGAATTCAATTCAGTCCCTAGACACATTATCTTTTATTGTTTTGAATTGCAGTTGGAATACTTTTTCTGTGGTTCTCAAAACGATCATTTTTTGCACTCTTTTGCTGCTGCCACTGAATGCCGTGTTTTGCAAGATTTTGATGTTTCTATGTGGATTCTTTATGTTCTTGTTCTTTTGTGGAAATTGAAAATATTTTCTCCTGTGATAGAAGGTTAGTTAAAAGTTATCTTTTTATAGGTACTCCATTTATCAACTTAAATGAAAATATATTCTTTCTGTGTTATAGTTATTGTTATCGCTGAAGACTATTGTGTTCATTTTTAGTTCCTAAAAGATGATGTAACTTTTCTCTATTGATCTTGTTGGAATAACCACCTTAAACTGATAGAATCAAAAACTACAATAACGAAATAGCAGTTAGTAATTAAAAACTTGTGAAATCAAACCTATTTGGTAGAACTGTTTGCCTATTTTGATTTATATGACTATTAGACCAGTCACTTCAGTGATTTCTCCTTGGTTCTTTGTTTGAGTTTTTCCTGATGGCTTACATTGATCATAGGGGAAGGCTTTTCGATTCTTGCTTTAAAGAGTCAAAATCAAGGGCTAGCTCAGAACTGCACCTTTCTCAGCCTCAGACAATCAATTTTTGTTGTATCTCCACCCTCACAACAATATGTCTTGTAGATAACCCTGCTCCCAATCATTGAGGATAAATACCATCATATCTATGAACTTCCTTTACCTCAAAAGTTTTGCATTGATATGATTATAATGATTTTCAGATCTATGTTAGATAAGATCAAAAAAAGGGAATCTAAATACACTTCCCAACCCCATCAGTGCTTAACAGTTGCTTCCTCACATTCCTACATCATCTTTCTTGTTAGCTTGGAGCCTTGGACTATAAACCTGTCATTGAGTCAGCTAGAGGCCCGCTTAATCAGAAATAAAATGTTGCAAGTCGAAGATTTTGGTCCCCAACTCATTCTATAATAGAAAATTTTAAGCGACAGAGGTACCGCCTGCCCCATCTCTGGGATCAGAAAATCTTGCTATAACCTTTTGTTATAAAATTCACTTTTATTCAATGGGAAGGAAAGAATATTGAAGGTTGGGTAAGGTTTGCGTACATCCTACCTTCCCCAATCCTCACCTGGGGGATTGCACTGATATGTTATTGTTGGAAAGGAAAGATTATGTGAGTTTGTTGAGAGTTAAATGTCTTGGCCATGTGATTTATAGTGATTCTGTTATTAGCGTTACATTGTTTCATGCTGTTTTTAGTGCCTATATTGTAAGTGTTAGATTGTATTATTTATAGATCCTAGACTTGCTAACAGATATATCATGTGCTGTATAAGTTAGGTGATTCTGTGCTGACATTTAATCCCTCAATTTTAATGTAACAGGTGATTTTGATCAAATATGGTCCAGAAGATCCAAGCATGAAAGATGCATCTATTTTTGTCTAATTTAAAATAGTATGTAAAAGTATGTAATTAGCACTCCCACATATGGAAATGTTAAACTATGTAAGTATCTCACTTCAACATTCAGTAGTATGACATTCACATGAATATATAATGAACAAATTTGGCAGCTATAATGTGTTTAAATTAGTAATCTTTCTCATTGAAATATATTTTAGGTCCATTATAAATTATACGTTGGGATCGTGTTGTTACTCCATCCATTACTGCCACTACTTTTCTAGATTTGATATCCTATTGTTTTAAATCGAAATGTGTAGGAAAAGTAGACACAAGGTTTTCTGGTTAACATGTCATCGTATGTATGACTGGTATTAACAATTGAAGAACAATTGAAGAGTATTTAGAAGATACCTGTCTGCAGTAAAGTTGTTTGTGGAATGAGAGAAATTAGTTATATTATTGCACTTTGAAGTTCATGTGTTTTAAATCTATTAGATTTGACATTTGTAACTGATGCAATGATCTGTTAACTTTTACACTATATACTCTTATTATGTCATTTAACTACATCAACCATTTATTTAAATTTTATGTCTCAATTCCCAGGCTGATGTCTTTATTATTCTATCTAATGTGTTTTCCAATTTTATGGCTGAAATTCATGGGTGATATGAAGATTTATATAAGAAAATAACAGATTACTGACTGATTTGAGTTCACATTTTCTGGAATTGAACTGTTTTTTCTTATCATTAAAAGAAGCTCTTTACGATAGATGTTAATTATAGGTGAAATAGAACTCACAACATTAGGAAGCTAGACTACCTGTTCATTAGCAAACTATATATACTGTTACACCAAACTGTAATACCTTTGGCATGAGAATCAAAGTTAATTATAGCAAGTTGTTTTATGTAGTATTTTTTTTATTCATTTAATATTTAAAGAATAACAACGAATTGTGCTTTACAAGTAGATTTTTTGTCGTGCATTCAATATCTATGTAATAATAATCGATTGCCTTCTTATAATGTATATATTGATAAACTTTGAATAAGGATACTAAATTGTGAATGTTTGCCCAACTTAATATTGAACTAATTGTTGAAACTTGAAAAAAAAAAAATAGTGCCTCTCGCTGGTATCTTATTCCATGTGGATTCTTTTATTGTGCAAATGAAGAAATATGATTCGTTACTAAAATGATGGACATTGTGTTTTTTAAAATTACTATTATTTAAAAATATTTTTTACTACATTGGATCTCAAATATATTTCATAGTAAATTAAACAGAAGTAAAATTATGATAAAATTTTAAACGTTGGGCCTGTGCTTAGCACGGACAACACTCATCTAGTTTTATTTATACCTTTTTATGTCCCCACAAAGCACAAATAAATATTTACTAGTACTTCAGCAAAATAATAATAATAATTTTTTTACTAGTAATAGCCAATTTATATCAAATTAAAAATATTTTGTCTCCCAAAAAAAATAAATAGCCTGAAGCAGGCACATTGTAAGAAGAGAAGTTGATACCTTCCCTCAATTTTTTCGCCTTTACTGTAAACTCAGAAAGAATGTACAAAACGAAGCTACAAGAGCTTTGCCATCAGTTCGAATGGAATTTGCCGGAGTACGCGACGGAGAAAGACGGCCCTGATCACAACCCTCGTTTCACAGCCACTGTTATAGTGAATGGAGTCTCCTTTGAGTCGCCCAAGGACCAATGCCGTTCTTCCAAAGAAGCCCAAAATCATGCTGCCCATATCGCCTATGACCATTTCATTCTTCCTCAACCCATTCTCTTCTCACCGCACAACCTTCCTTCACCTGCTCTAATACCAACTTCTCTTGGTTAGTTCCTTAATCATTCTATTTGAAATACCCTTTGTTATGTTTATCACTGATTTGCTACTAATTTCTTTGTTTTTGAACTGCTCTGATGAACTTTTGGGTGTTGTTTGCTGTTGTACTTCATGCATACGTTATTGTACTTTTTACTCAACTTATTGAACATCAAACTTTTATTTCCCAATATAGACCACTCATTTTATTTCAACAATTTACTTGCTCTATTTAAACTGGTTGAGTTCAATAGTGCAAGTAAATTAACATTTGAAAAAATGAATCTTTTAGTCAGAAGGTGGGTTTCATAAGTAAACCAATATTGAAAAATAATTTGAATTTTGTAGGAAATATCTACATGGTAAAAAGTCGGACCTCCATTTTCCATGAATCTAGGGAGTGGAGGAGCTCGAGTAGAGAGAAATGTGGAATTTTTGGACAATCCCAGATATAGAAATAGGATATTAAGTTGGGTGAGATGACAACAACAACAACAACAACAATATATCCGGTGTAATTCCACAAGGTGGGGTATGGGGAGGGTAGGAGGTATGCAGAACATACCTTGAAGGTAAAGAGGCTGTTTTCGATAGATCTACAACTCAAGAAAAAGAAATAGTCCAAAGCAGTATGGAAAAAAAGAAATTACAGAAGTGAAGAAGTCATGGAAAAATACTATGGACAACATGACAAATCATCTTGAACAGTAATCACAACAAGATAATACGATAATCAAAGTATAATAAACAACAAATAGTAACCAAATTCAAAGGACATATAGTAGGTTGGGGGTGAGATGGGAGTATCTTTATTTATTTTATTATGTTATTAATAGTTGACAAGAGTTGAAAATGTTAATTGGGGTTTATTTTTTGTGATAGTGATTACTCCTGGTACCAAGTTGTTTTCTTTTCATTTTTTGCTTTCGCATATTAACCGAATGAACTTTGACCATAATGAATTTGGTAGCTTGCTGATATTTTGAAATGATGAAATCTTTTGAGTTATAACATCATGTAGTTTCTACATCTCTAATTATTGTTATTTATTGGGGAATTTATTCATGTCCGATGTGGTGCAAAATATAGAAGGTTTCTCGCATCATGGAAGGATGAGGGTAAAAAAACTAGTCCATGAGAGTTGGATCTGGGTAGGTAGCTAAAACATAGACACTTTGACAGGGAAGCCATGGAATTAGTGGATACCCTACAAAGGAGGAGAGTTGATATTGCATGCCTACACGAAGTTAAATGGACAGGGAAAAAGGCTAGAGAAATAGGTAACACGGGTTATAAAATTCTGGTCAATGAACTGCAAAAAAGACAGAACCTAGAAGCTAGTCTTTGTTGTCAAACAAAGTGTAATAGAGAGTCTTCCCACAGTTAATCTGGGATTGCCATCAGGAGCAAAACATAAGGCAGGTCCTATATGGCAGGGATGCGTGATTCTATGGCAAGGGGACAAAGAATGTAGAACATTTAACTTAGTCAAATGGAACTCTTTAATCACAAAGAAAGGATGAGGTTTGGGTATCAGGAATCTAAAAATGCAAAATAGGAGCCATGTTACCATTGTCACACACACAAAAAAGCAAAATAGGGGCCTCTCAATGAAATGGCTATTGAGATTCAATGGTGAAGAAATTCCTTTATGGAGAAATGCCATCACAACAAAGTATGGACAAATGATTTCCACACAATGCAGATGTTGGCAACGAATCTAGGATGCCAAGTTGCCTCCCTACCCACAAGCTACTTGGGAATGCCATTGGGAGCAAAGAATGAGGAGCTAGAAGTCTGAAATTCAGTGTTGGAGAGATGTGACAAGAAGCTAGCAAGATGGAAGAGTCAATATTTACCTTAGGAGGCAGATTGACACTTATCAAATCTGTGATGGATGCACTACCCACATATATGGTGATCCTGTTCCGGATACTATAGATCATTGAAAAGAAGATCAACCAATTGAGAAGGACCTTCTTGTGGCAAGGAAATAAGAGAGTGGAGGCTTCAACCTTGTGAAATGGGATGCCATAACTCTTAACCGAAAGCAAGGGGGTTTCGGCATGAAGAAACTCAGCTTGCACAACAATTATCTGTTACAAAAGTGGCTGTGAATATTTTGCATAGAAGATATGACTTTATGGATAAGGTTCATCATAGAGATGTTTGGGCTCTTTAACCTCTGGACAACTGAGGAAGTTTATAGAATTTTTGGCTATAGTGTGTGGAAAATCATCAGAAGGCTATGGCTACAGTTCAACACCAACATATCCTTCAAAATGGAGAATGGTATGAAAACACAGTGCTGGTTTGAGCACTGGATATGTGAAGACTATCTAAATGCCACTTTCCTAGACCCTGCAGAAAAGTGACACTGTCTTCCAGCTATGGAGTCCACATGTTGGAATCTCACTTGTAGAAGAGCTTTAAATGACTTGGAGGTGGGTAGAATAGCAAATCTGCTATGGACTCTGAACTCTTTCCCAGGTGTCTCCTTCGCCCATGACAAACCTCTTTGGAAGCTACATTGTAAGTGTGCCTTTACAGTTAAATCCTTTTTTTTTTTCTTTTTGCTAAAGTAATCAAATCATGTTAGAAAAGCATCTAGAAGATGCAAGGTTACAAGAGAGCAAAAGAAACTGCTTCAAACAAAACATGAAGCAACCTTACCTGTAAAACAGCCAAAAAATTCCCTGAATATTCTACTAAGCTAAAGTCAGGGAGCTAAAAAAATCCAAAAAGTTATCCACACTATTTACGGGGGAAAGGAAGTGCCAACTGAATAAGCATTCCAAACATCTTGCCTTGAGGGTGCTAATAGGAGTCGAGATTCCATCAAAACATCTGCTATTTCTCTCCTTCCAGAGACACCAAAAAATAACTGCTGGAATCATTCTTCAGATTCTTTTGACGGTTTTGTCACCTCTCCACAATGACCAACTCGCATAGGCATCTTTCATGGAGAAGGGTTAAGGGTATTACTCATTGGAGCCCACATATAGAGTAGAATAAGTGCCATAAGTCGGCTGCTGCAGGGTAGTGCAAAAAGAGATGGTTTGCAGTTTCATTATCTGGCTTACACATGAAACATCTGTTGATGAGAATTATTCCTTTCCTCCTGAGACTGTCTTGCGTTAGGCAAGCCTCTCTAAGAGTAGTGTTTTGAAAGGCGAGCACCTTATCGCCTTTGGCGAAAGGCGAGGCCTCATCGCTTATTACTGGCGAGGCAAGGCGAGACCAAAAAGGTGAATGGCGACAAGGCGTCGCCCCCTTTTTTTTTTTAGAAGGCCTGATTTAATAATTAAAAGGCAATATTAGGGTTTTATTTGGTGTTTTGGCAAACCTGCGACTCTCTTCTCTTCTCCTTCGCGACTCTCTATTAGGGTTCTTTCTTCTTCAGTTCTTCAGTTTGAGACCTTACCTGCTTAGGTACGTTTTCAGCTCCTTTTTTTTTCTTTTTCTGTTCTTCTCTTCTTCTTTCATATGCATTCAGCACAACAGTGTGCAGTGTGTCTGGAGCTACTGACTGCAATCTACCTATATTTTAAATGTATGTTATTGCTATTGAGATTTTGGATATTTATATATGCAATTAAATATTTTAAGTTTTTGGTATTAATTGGCCCCTCAATTCAAAAAAGCGAGCACATCGCTGCGAGGCGAGGCAGACCCTTGTCGCCTTTTGCCGTCTAAAACACTTCTCCGAGGGCAGTTCAAGTGAAGCAGGAGACTTTAAGAGGCTGCCTAGTTCTCCAAATATGTTTCCAAGGCCAGTCCTTAAGGATGCCATTTTGAGAGCTCCAGTAGTTGTAACTCTCCTGCACAGTGTAAATCCCATCCTTCGATTTGCCCCAAAGGATTCTGTCTGGGACTTCCTCCACCATAGAGCTTTCTCCCAATGTTTCTAGTAGTTTGAGGAAGTCATTAATTTCCCAGTTTTGCAAGTTTCTTCTGAAAGTTGGACGCCATTAGTTGTTGTCTCTGTACTGAGCAATTGTGACTTCCTTGTTCGACGCTATCCGAGACAATGTGGGAAAAGAATCTTTCAGTAAAGTGTCCCCAAGCCATCTGTCTAGACTCTAGCCAGAATCTAATCTTAAGCCCATTCCCTGCTTTGAAAGAGACATTTTGTAAGTAATCTTCCTGAAGACTACTGAAACATTAGTCTGTCTTTCACAAAAGCTTGGCCGTGGACACTAATTTGGAAGATCAAAATTCCCCTAAAAGTTTCCTGTTTTGCTTGTACAACAATTGTCTATTACAAAAGTGGCTCTGGAAATTTGCATAGAAGAAATGACTTTATGGAAAAGGTTCATGATAGAGAAGTTTGGGCTCCTTAACCACTGGACATTTGAGGAAATTGATGGAACTTTTGGCTGTAGTATGTGGAAAATCATCAGAAGGCTATGGCCCCAGTTCAGCACCAACATATCCTTCAAAGTAGGGAATGGTGTGAAAACACAGTTCTGGAATGAGCATTGGATAGGTGAAGACTGTCTAAAGGCCACTTTCCCAGACCTTTACAATCTCAATCTACTGAAAAGTTACAGAGTCCAGCTATGGAGTGATGGAGTCCACAGGTTGGAATCTCATTTTTAAAAGAACTTTCAATGACTGGGAGGTGGATGTAATAGCAAATATTCTACGGACTCTGAACTCTTTTCCAGGTGTTTCCTTGGGTCATGTCAAACTTCCTTGGAAGCTGCATTGTTAGGGTGTATTTACAACTAAATCTTGTTACTGGAACAAAAACATTAGTCTGTTTTTCACAATAACTTGGCCCTGGAAACATCTGGAAGATCAAAATTCCCCTAAAAGTTTCCTGTTTAGCTTGGTGGGTGATCAGAAAAGCTTGTCTAACCCATGAAGTTTTACAGCAAAGAGGTTTACAGATTGCTCAAGGTGTTTTTTGTGTGACAAGGAAGTAGGGTTTAATGATTATCCTTTCTCACACTGTAAAACAACTGCAATTATGTGGATCATGTGCTCGTGTATGCTAGTATTGAGCTGGATAGTGCCCAAGCTACTTTGGAAATGCTGAACAACTCGGAAACAATTGGAAGAAGAGATACAGAGGAAGACTGTGGAAGTTGACCCCAGCCTATATTTGGTGGACTATATGGAAAGTAAGAAATGCAAGATGTTTTGGAGGAAAAAGTAAAAACACCAGGAAAATCAAAATGAACTGCATCATCCTTCTTTGTTTTTTTGTGTAAAGTGTAAACAAGATATGGTGGGGATATAGACATTTTAGTTGATTTCCTAGGAAAACTGTAAAGTCTATAGACTAGTCTAGATGGTTTTTGTCTTGCCCAGTGTGGGTTGTAAGTGAGCATCTCATCAGTTTTTGGATGATGTATTTTTGTGAATACAAAATTACCTTTATCTCAAGAAAGAAGACTTGCAAAAATTTTCCGACTTCTTAGTTCTTTCCACTTTTTCTTGTTTGAACTACAATAATGGTCAAGTGTTGTGGAGGGAACATGGTAATGATTCATTCATAGTCCATTCATGATATGCTGCTCACAAGTCACAGGTTCTAATCGGATTTTTTATGGTCCATCTAAGAAAATAAGGAAAAATAACTGGGGATCAGGAACATGAAGAAACAAAACAAAAGCCTAATGTTAAAATGGCTTTGGAAGTTTATGACAGGAGAGAATATGCTATGGAGAGAGGTGATCAGGGCAAAATATGAAATGGAGAATAAGTGGATGACAAAGATGGTAAATACACCATATGGATGTGGTATCTGGTGATCAATAAGAAATCTTTGACCTCTGTTTCTTTCTAGAATCAGATTCCAGGTGGGTAATGGAATGAAGGTGTCATTTTGGGAGGACAGATGGATAGCCCAAAGAACCCTGAAACAATTCTTCCCAGACTTATTTACACTAAGCCTTCAACAAAATGCAACTGTGGACAGGACAGGGGTGGAACTTACATCTTAGGAGGAATCTAAACGATTGGGAGATGGGGAAAATAGTGGCCTTCCGTGATGCAATGACACAATTTAGCAATCTGACTAGGGAAGAAGACAAGGTTGTGTGGAAGATTGGTGGCAAAGGGGTTTTCAGTGTCAAGTCAGCTTACAAAGATCTTAATCAATCAAATTCAAATGATAGGATGGAGCTCTGGCCATGGCAGATGATATGGAGACCTTAAATCCCATACAAGGTAAACTGTTTCACATGGTTACTAGCAAAGGAAGCAGTGCTGACACAAGAGAATATAAAGAAGAGGAAGTTCCAACTATGCTCAAGATGCTATTTGTGTGAGGTCAACCATTTCTTCTTGCATTGCAAATGGACAGATCAATTATGGAGAATTTTCAGCAGCCTAAGAAAGATCACTTGGGTGAAACCAAGAAACATAGTACACTCCTAAATTGTTGGATCAATATTGGCAACACTACAATTAAGGAGGAGAGTTGGAGGATTGTCCCAGCTTGTGGAAAGAAAGGAATCAAAGATGTTTTGAGGGCAAGAAGAACAATTTGCAGAATTTCAAGATGAATTGTATAGCTCTTTATTATTTTTGGTGTAAACAGAAAGTCTTAGTACAGGCAGAAGAACTTTTTGATGTTTTAGACTATTTGTGACAAAAAACACAGATAGAGTCAGTCTAGTTTGTAATACTTTTGGAGGGGGGCTACTTTGATGTAGTATACTTGTGGATAAATAGAAGAAAAAGTTACCATTCTCAAAAAAAAAAGCACTAACAAAAGTTATGTGTTTGATTACGAAAGAAGCATGCTTGACTCGAGATAATCTGCAAAGAAGAGGAATACATGTAACAAATAGATGCTACATGTGTTGTGTTAGAGTGGGTAAAAGCCCCACATTGGTTGGGGAATGGACTGGTGATCTCTTTATATGGACTTGGGCAATCCTCCCCTCTTGAGCTAGCTTTTGAGGTTGAGTTAGGCCCAGGTGCCATATCTTCACATGGTATGAGAGCATTGGTGAGAACAAACAAGTCACTGTTGGTCAATTTCCGGTGGCTGTTGGGTCTGATTTGTGTCAATTATTTTTAATTCTTCTTTCTATGGCTGTTGCGCGAAAACCAACCCCACCACGAGGCTCGGAAAGCTCCCGCGACCAAACCGCAGCCAGAATCACCGGAAAATCTCACCCCACGCGCCGATAGAAGGTGGCAGTTTCCGGCGAGATCTAGCTCACGCGCCGGCGTGTGAGGGCTGTTCCGATCAATTTTTTTGAGAAATTTTTTCTGTTGAAGTCGTCCATCCATTCCAACCAGTTCCGACCAGACGCCTAAATCAGTCAACCACCTTTTTCTACATTGCCCTACAACTTCTTTGATCTAACAGATATCCCTTAAGTTTTTGGGTATGAGATGGAGCATGCCAAAAACATCTGCTTAATTTCTGTCATGCTGGAAGAGGAAAGGATTGTCTAAGAACCTGAAAGACTTGGGACACCATACCTGTCTGTACAGTATATGGTGGTGTATCTGGAACGAGAGAAATATAAGACGTTTTGAAGGACACGAAAATTCTGTTTTAAAAGTTAGATCTGATTGCATTATGATGTTGTCATTTTGGTGTCAATTGGAGCTGGTTTGTGATGCTGAATCCCTATTGTAGCTCATATAAGCTTTTGTATTGACAATTCGGGTTCTCCCTTTCTTTTATCTTTCTTTCTTTTTGGATTACAGCACCTTAGAGCTGGTGGTTTTTACATTAATAGTAATTACCTGGTAAGAAACGGTCATGGTATTTTGGGATAGATAAAAGTAGGAATGGTGTGAGATTATTGTAGAACCAAGACCTAAAGACATGGTTGTAGAAGTAAAATGGGTTTGGGATATGATTATTGCATCAAGACTTGTATGAGAAAGGAGATAATCGAAGTTATTAGTGCATGTACTCTGCAAATAAGATAAGATGCAGAAGCTAAAGCCATGTTTTGGCAGGATATGGACACTTGATTCAAGGGATTCTAGGATTCCAACAAATCTTTGTAGGGAGGATATCTAAATGATCATGTATGTAAAGATAGCACGGTTTCATCAAACAATTACAAGACCTGCAATATTATGCGGTAGTGAATGTTGGGTCACTTATATCCAACAAATCCAGAAGATAGAGTGTTGCAGAGATGGGGATACTAAGATGGAGGTACGATCATATAAGATTAGAGTTGATTAAAATGACCACATTCTCCTAAAGGTCGCTTGAGATGGCTTGGTCACATCTTGTATTGACCTACAGATGCGCCGATCCAGAAGCATGATACTATGGTGAGTGAAAAAGTTAAAGGGGATGAGGTAGACCTAAAATCACATGAAGAACGTTGTTTCGAAAGACCTACAGTTTCTGGAGTTCAATGTAGACTTAGCTAAAAATAGGAAACAATGAAAGAATCCATATAGGATTTAGAGGTGAATAGGATTTAGAGGTTGTTTGGGAGGGATTAAAAGCTGGTAAAACCTGCTTTAAGCACTTCTTAACTTAATTTGGTGTTTGCTTTACTTGTAAAATGTTTTTTAAGTTAGGTGTTCCTAAGCCAAAATAAGCTAAAAGTTGTAAGTTGGTCACCCTCAACTTATTAGTACATTTTTACTTAACAACTTTTCTAGTTTGACCAAAAGACTTACTTGTTCCTTGTATATTTTATAAACCCCAAATACCCTCCCCTTATAGAAGCCCTATGTAGGACTCTTTTAATTCAGAGTTCTTGAGTCATCTTTCTCCAGGAGTCTTTCTTTAAGAGATTTTCTCAAGAGAAAATAACTTTCTTTAATTTATATATGATTTTTTTTTTATAGTATTGGAGTATATTTTTTTATATACAAACTTGAGTCAAATTACAACATAATAGTTATTTAAATAAAATAACATATTTATTCATAGTAATCTCATCAAAGCAATTTATAACTTAAAAGTGAATTGAGACAAAAATTAATTTATTTTTGAGTTAATTTAAAGTTAAAAGAGTTGAAATAACAAGCTTATTTTTACTTTAAACAAATTTAAGGGTATTTCAGTCAATTAAGTAGAAAAGAGCTTTTCAGCCCTTCTTTACCAAACACATCAATTGCTTCTTTTCAGCTCCAACACTTAAAAATTGCTTTTAAGCTCTTATTACTTAATAATTTCTTAAATTCAGCTAACACAAACGGGCTCTTAGTCTTGTTAGAGTACTTTTAATATTATTATGGATAAAACTTATGGTATGGTGATGACATGAATTTAGCTTAAATGCTGATTTGAAGATTCATATAGACAACCTCGGCTTGTTTGGAATTGAGGTGTAGTTATTGTTATCATAGTTTTAGTTGGGAATATGGTCAAGTTGATCGCCGAAAGAAAATAGGGATATTGGAGGGATAAGTTGTTTACCTAACGGGTTTGATACATCATAAAAGAAATACACGCAGACCTCTGCAGTAAAAGGGCTAGGGAAGGGTCAGATGATATCGTCTCTATCCCTACCTTGCATTTTTTGAAGAGGTTATTTCCACTGCTTGAACCCTTGACCTCCTAGTCACATTATTTTGTTAGAAAAGGGGGACACATTTTCAATTTCCTTTTGATATGTTCATAACAACTTTTCCTATACCAAAGAATAAATTGAATTAACTAAATGTGAACACAATTTCTTATAATTTTACTATTGTTGTTTGTTCGTTTTTGCTGCTTGTCTAATCGTTTGAAGTCAAATGATGTGCTGCGTCTCTATCCTCAATGATCAAGTTTACACGCAAAACAGAAAAAAAGAAATGAACAATGAAATAATTATTTGATTTAATGGGAATACTTATTGGGGCATATGGAAAATTGCCTTGATATTGTTACATTTCACTTAGTTGTGCAGGTGCTTCGACATCAAAGAGTAAGGTGGGGGATAGACCTCCAAATATGGATGTTTTTCAGCAAAGACAAAATAACATTGGACAACTTTCTCATGTCAATGGAACTGCATTGGCTATTGTGGACACTAATACCTCTAAAGGTTAGAATGACACATTCATCTTCTTTTCAATTTTTTCTTGGATAGAATGTGGATTTTATTGCTAAGCACCAAGAATGTGCTAATATGACATCTCAACTAACTCCAAATGCAAATACAAATGATGCCACAAGGGCGGGTACGCCACACCATTCGGGCTCACTATAGTGGTTTGGTCTCAATCTTGTGCACGGAATCACGTTGTGTGTGTCAAGTAAAACCTATGAATACCCTCCCGTCGCTATCTTTTATTCTCGTTTAACACAATTATATATACCATTTAGCTCATAAGAAATCAAGTAAAAATACTTGTGATAACACAAAATGTTATGGAACTCAACTTGGAGTGACATGAATACCTTTAAGCTTAAACAATTAATCAAGTAGGTGGCACACATAAAATATGAAAGTTTTACGTTCGTACTTCAAGTGAACTAACTTGACCTTTGTATGAGAAACACATGACATAGGTGGTGCCTTAAATGCGAAGGGAGTTTTAGTTTCACATACCTTTAGTACCTTCCTAGCTATCGCGGGTCACCAATAACTAAACTCACATAGATGCAGCCTCACATAGCCAACCACTCGCTTCCACCACTCAATTGCAGCCAATCAATCCAACGCAATTCACTACAAAATAATATATAATACATGTCCAGTCAAGAACTCACATGTTCAGAAAATGCATGTTGCGGAGATGAGGATGTTGAGATGGATGTGTGGGCACACTAGGAGCGATAAGATTAGGAATGAGGTTATCCGGGAGAAGGTGGGAGTGGCCTCGGTGGTGGACAAGCTGAGGGAAGCGAGACTGAGATGGTTTGGACATGTGAAGAGACGGGGCGCGGACGCCCCAGTGAGGAGGTGCGAGGGGCTGGTAGTAGAGGGTACGCGGAGGGGTAGAGGTAGGCCCAAGAAGTATTGGGGAGAGGTGATTAGACAGGACTTGGCCCAGCTACACATTACCGAGGACATGACTCTAGATAGGAAGGAGTGGAGGTCACGTATTAAGGTTGAAGGCTAGTAGGGTTAGCGTGCTGTCTTTCCTGGCGAGGGTATGGGTTGTTAGCGTTTGTAGGAGTCTTAGCCGTACACTTGTAGTTCTTGTATGTGATCCCTTTTGCCTTATGTTGTTTACTGCGTTTCACTTCTCGCATTATTTTCTTGATGTATTGCCCCCTTTGTTGATTATGCACTATTTTTCTTATTGGATGTTATGCTTTATATAATTCTCTTCCTTTACTTGGCTTTGTTACACTTGAGCTGAGGGTCTTCCGGAAACAGCCTCTCTACCTCCACGAGGTAGTGGTAAGGTCTGCGTACACTCTACCCTCCCCAGACCCCACCTAGTGGGATTTCACTGGGTATGTTGTTGTTGTTGTTGTTGTTCATCAATAACCCGTAGGTTCATCAATAGATTCATTCCAATATTTTCCACTTATACCCAAACTAATCCAATTCTTTTACAATCATTTGGAGTGAATTCCTAATTTATTTTTCCAACTTATAAGGTACAATATTAATTCTGCCCATAAGTAGAAACACTCAAAAATTCCACCTTTATCAATAATTAACTATTCATCTTGTTCCCTTTTCAAGAACCCTAGTTCATCACCAAAACCTATTTCGAAAGCTAGTGCAAAAATTCCAATTAAATGGTGATTTCCATTTTACACTACATCCCAAATAGGTATTCTATAATTATATTCAAGTGCGGGGTAGAGAATCTACCTATTTGAAGTCAACCCAACTTGAGTTCTTGAAGAATCTCCACAATTCTTGAACAAAAACTGATAGTTTTCTAACAATTTAGGATCATTGTGTGCTACTCCGAAAAATAATTCTTGTTTCATGGTTAATACCACCTCGCTGCAGCCACTGATGTGCGAAGACAGAGGGCACTTTGATGTCCCTGGAAAATTCCAAGAAAAATTCTTGGTGTTTCTTCAACTAAGCCTTCTAAAGAAAGAATTAGAGGGTGACCCCACTTAACCCAAATACCAATTAATGACAAGCGTAAGAAATGATCCCTTAACCCATCTTTTTTCTTTCTTTTACTCAGCTGACAGCAGCTATACATATATATATATATATATATATATATATATATATATATGCTACAATTTTCCCTAAGATATGCACACTCTATCTAAAGCATATAATTATTATATCAATACATCAAGTGCTCCATTTAACTTGGTAGCGAGTAGCGCGTCGTTTCCCTTTCCGAATATTATTTGTAACTCTTTGTGAGAAATTCTTAAATACCAAATAATTATGGCACACTCAAAAATCCTTAATTTGGTATATAGTGCACCACGTAACCCTTTATAGTTTAAGAGTTATATACTTGTATACTCAAAGTAATAAACTTAATTCCGATTCCGAGATTCTACACAGTAACTTTACTGGCTAAGCAATTTATTTTATTTGTGTGATTGTGTTGGTTGTCCATGATGCATTCTGTATATATTTTGCGAATGGAGCATATATATTTTCAATGTCTTAAAAATTGAGCTACCAGGAACTTAAAGAAGGAACAAGATGAAAATTTTAAAAAGAACACTACATTCCTGCTTCTCGATCATACTAGTAGGACAATGACAATTGCTTGGCTTGTGACCTTGAAGGTTTTGGAGCTAGTTGTCACCCCTCAAACCTAGGCCTGGGCGGACTGACGCACGATGCCTTAACCTAACTTAGAGAACCCTTCTATATGAACATGAAGATACAACATTTATATGATATCACATCAAAAAGCGGAATAGTAGGCATGAGTCACATAAGAACAACTCTCTGTCAAGGAGTGCAAAGGTAATTTAAAGTCTTCTTCTCATTAAAAAACATAAGATCTCCTTTGATCATAACAAAGATGTAAAACCATATTTAAGACGAATTGAGCTGATTTCAAAACATATGCATGACTTAAATACTTTATTTTATGAAGCCTCTAATACATAACATTGCAGTAGAAATACTAGACTGGCAGGTTCTACAAGTTCAACGTAGCTCAATTTTTGCTGATACAATGTTATGGTTTTAATATCGAAGCATAGAAAGAGAATTTAATCTGCTCATCTATCAAGGTGATGTCTGAAGTAGTTTCTGTTGGTTTCTATACCATGCATCTGGTGAGATATTTAAGATGTTACGTATGGTATGAATCCAGGACTCACATGGTATAAGTAGAATTTTCTTTCTTCTGTTGCTTTATATTTAGTTAGAATATCAAGCTCATCATTATTTACACTAATTTCTGTAATCATAACTTGGATGGTGGTATTAATCTAATTGGATTCATTCCATCAAGGAAGAGAAAATAGATATTAAGGTTAACAATGATGGCATTCAGTGGTACTTTCCTTTAATCTCAACTTTGATGGTGGTATTAACTATTTTGTTCACCATCAACGAAGAGATAATAGAAATGAAAGTAAGCAGGGTTGACATTCAGTATGTCAGTGGTACCTTGTGTTGAATTGGAGCTTTTTCTTCGGCGTTGTTGTTGAGTATAGTATTCAACACTGCATGGTTCTCAACAGCAGAAAAGGTGTAAATTAGTGATTTATTAAGAGATAAATAATAATGGTGGTATTAATTCATTAATTCCTTAATTGGATTCAACCCACCCATTAGAGTTCAGATCTGAGAAAGTATAATAAATTATACCTTAGCTCAGCTCCTTTAGGTGACTTCTGATATTGCTCCGTAAAATTTCAGTTCAAGTTCAAGAGCCATTGTTTCCAGTAGCAAGTGACGAATTATCATGTTGAAGTGGGGATCTAGAAGCCTAGTAGAAGTAACTGTGGAGAAGGGTTACAGCTCGAACATCCAGTTATCTAGTTTCAAAGTTTCGATTAGAGGTGTTTTCAACCTATTTAAGGTTCAGCGCACTGAAAATCATACAATGAAAAAGAAGAATTTGGTAACGAAGCTGAAATTACCTGATCTCTAAGCTTGATGATGGCTGAAGATGAATATTGGAGGAATCTCTATAGACATTTCCACTTCCCTTCTCGAGATCTTTCCAATTTGTGTTGGCTACAATTTATGTGTTCTATATTTTGTTGGTTTTCTTAGTCATTCTGGGCCATTTCTTTTGGCCTATTCTTTTGTATATATTATTGTTTTATTAATAAAAGTTTGCCATGGCCCATTTGGTTTTAAAAAAAACTACTATAGGACTAGCTGAAATCTGATCATGCACTGAATCATGGTCAGTAGAAAGTCCAACAAGTGTAAGAACTAAAAACAATGTCTGCCTATGTTCATGTTGTTTTTCCACGTTCGTAGTGACTGGCATCAACATTTCAAATTCCTCCATGACTATTTGTACCTGTCCCAAGTAAGTAGATATGTCGGATTCTTGTTTCTTTAGGTTTGTCATTTGAGATATCACATCATATAATCAAGATATGTCATTAGTGTATAAAGCACGAGCCTTTTCCCAAACTGATTAACATGTCTGGAATAGGCTAAACAAGGCCATCAACTTGGAATCAATAGATCGCCATAGGAGACTACATAATTGAGCATCAACCTTCTCCTATTCTACTTTGATTTTTGCATCTTCCTCACTAACCTTTGCCTTTTCATCTATCACACAAGCATTGTTTGTTAAGTGGTTTTGGACTTCTTGACCGTTGCACCACAACTCAACTGTGGAAGCCCAAGGTAAATATTTTGAGCTTCCCATTAATGGTTCTAAAGTGATCATAGGGCTTGAACTTCCAATTCCTGTATTTTTGGAGCCAAAAATATCTATTCGGGAAAGACATCTTGTGAAATCAGATTTTTGTAGCCAATAATCTGGAAATACGTGCCGGAATCGGTAAAAAAAAAAGTCCCTGCAATTTGAAAAAAAAAGATTGTCGGAAATCAGAAAGAAATAGGGTTGTTGCTGGAAAATTAGATCTGATCGCCAAGAATTGGTCGGAACCGGGAAATAATTATATGGACAGCTTCAGAATGAAGTGGCGACTCCACTGGAAAAAGAAAGCTGCTGAAAAATGATGCACACGCCTGCCATGGATATGATGAGCTCGTCGGTGTATTGCTTCTGGCGGCGTGTAAGGGCATATATGTGACACTAGTTTCTGGCTAGTCTAACTAGAGTTTGTTTGTCGGGGAATTCCAAACCTAGTGGTGGCGTTAGTTTTCGAAAATCACTAAAAGAAAATGTTATTTACTTAGACAGCCGCTTAGATCACCAGGAAGCTACAGAAGGATAGCTGGATTTGTTGAAACGATTCATATCGATACTTTTCTCTCAATTGCTCTGATAGACTGATACCATGTAAGAAATTATAGGAGAAAAATATTATTGAATTGTATAAACCTTATTTATAGACAATATTACAATCCTTTTTCAAGTAGGATTCTATATACTATTCTTGTTCCTATTCATACTCTAACAAGGAGTACTTATCTTTGAGTTCATAAGGCATCAAGGGTTGTCGATGTTACCTATCATATTATCAATACATAGAGTACGTGGGGTCCTATTAGGATTCCCTAAGCTTCAAGACCTTAGTTTGTTAGGAATACATAACATCGGGGTACATATCAAAGTAAACTGTATACATGAGGGGTGCATGACATAAAGGATAACTAGCACTTCACACTTACGGGTACACATACATGAGGACTACATTCGAGGAGAGTACATATCATTTGAGGACACTAAACATGTAGAGAAATGTTCATTTAGAGCTTTAGGGTGATATAGCATTCATGGTTGAAGTATACATGGAGCATATCATTTACGAAAAGGATGTATCGATTTAAGAGATATAACATCGAGAAGGACAAAGGAAATTCCCACATTGAGAGGGTCAGCCATTACATACCTCAGCCCGACCTTAGTAAAACGACCAACTACTCCATTACGACCTTAATCTACAAGACTAATAATGATAGGGAGCTAGAATTAGCGAAGAGATTCATAACTACGTTACTTTGTCAATTATCAAACACATGTGAGCAAAAGCCCTTCATCAATGGTGTACCAACAGCCAACCTACTCCTTGGTAGTGACAACATAAAAACTTCCCTCCGAGTCTGAGGCGACCCATAACCATCCGGGCAGAAACACCACAAGAACACCTCAAAACAAATCCCCATTCTCATAAAGCTAGCAACAATTTAAGTCATGGCTTCCGATCACCACCCCATGAGTCCCATTGCTAAAACATTCTTATAACATCAGGAACCATCCATGCATAAACTCTGAAAAGGAGGCGTACCTTGAAAGATGAAGAGAAACCCCAAAAATCATCCCTTGATCCCCAAGTGAAGAAACCCCTATGAATCTCTAGAATCCGAAGAAAAATTGATGTTAAAATCACGTATTAGGTGAAGAATGGCTAAGATACTATGGGAAGAAATTACCTTGGTGTTGTAGAACTTGGAAGAGAGAATAAGAGTGAAGTATAGCTTTGGGTCGCCCAAAAATGAAGGGAAATGAAGTGAAGATCGAGTTTTAAAACATCTGGACGAGCCTTGATGCAGAGCTAAATGCTGGCTGCATATGGGACCTTTTGGTCGCATCTATACTGCACATAACAACAGGACTGTAAATTTTGGGCCAGATGCGACCAACTTGCGGTCGCATATGCCTTCACATATGGGCTAATGCGGTTGCATATCTACTCAGCGTACTGCTCTGCAGTCCTTCAGTTGAAAGATCTTTAATTTTTTGCTCCAACTTGGATTGAAAAATGTTGATGTGCTGGAAAGAAGACTTAGAGCTTTAATTTGATAAGTAGACCTCCCTCTAATTCCTTGTAGATTGGGAGACACATCCGTTTGAAGTCAGACCACGTATGAGATGATTTGAAACAATTGACCGCAATGTAACCTTCAACTTGGACTTTTGTGCTAAGCTTCCCCTTGACCTCTTAACTTATTTTAACCCTTCAAATACCTCATATATTGGTTCCTTGATATATTTAGCCACTTTCCATCTTATTCTCCCAAGGTTGAACAAATTCATCTGCGTCGATTAGTAGTTCTTTGGCATGGAGATACCGGGTGTTATAGTAGTATTGGTTCTAAGCTTTTGTCTCATGGCATAAAAATTGTTGATTATTTGCATTGCTGTGTTGTATCTTTCTATCTATTTTCTCTTCTTTTGTCTCTATTTCATATTGCTTTTGTTTATTATTAGTGTAGCAGTTGTCTATCATTTCACCTCATTCTTAAAAATCTTCAAGCTGAATACATGTCCCTTCAAAACTGACGTAAATCTCTCTGAGAAGAAGAGCATATACCTATAATTGGAGTGAAAGCATTAATTCTTTAGAACAGGTGGTAAATGGATCTTTTTCCTTCTGGATTTGATGAGATTACTTCATCGGTACCTTGGATAAAGCACCTGTAAGCAGTTGAGATTTGAGATATACAGCCTAAACTAGGAAATGAATTGTGGAAATGTCGCTACTTCTAGTTCAGATTAGTAGAAGGTTCAACCCATCTGCCAACTAGACCAGTATAAGTTTTTAAATGTATATCAGTACATGGTTGATCGTTGGACCTTCCTATCCAGTACAATAGTGTTCTGAGTTTCTCTCTGTAAGAGTCCATTATTTTTAACCATTAGCTTTAGTTGATCTTAGATGAGGCCTCTTGGCAGTTCCCTTCAGATGTTCCTTCCTTCTGTTGTGCTTTATAGGATATTTTGTTCTTCTTGGTGAACTTAACTACTCACTCCACACTTGTTATAGTTCATCTTCTTATAAAAATGAGAGTTGGCATGTTGGGGGAATCTATATTTTGAGAAAGGTAACATTGTACTAATCAACAGTACAAAGGTTGTGCTGGTACAATTTACGGATTCCAAAAAGTTAGATATATCCTTGTTCTTCTTACAAGGATTCTATGATGTCTAAAGTGTTAGCATCCTTTGGTCCAACATGCTGGAATAGAGAAGGAAATATGTCCGGCCACAAAGAGAGATGGAAGATTGTCCCTGTTTGCATCTGGTGGACAATATGGAGGGAAAGGAACCAAAGATGTTTTGAAATCAAGAGCATCCCTTTCCGAAGTCTGAAGTTGAATTGTCTTATAACCATTTATTTTTTGTGTAACTATTTTCTCCCCAAAAAGGTGGAGGATATTACTCAGTTTCTAGATAGTTTAGGAGGGATATACGTGATAGATTTCTTTGGTTTTGATTACTGTAAACTCCTGATGTAACTACTACTAAAATACACTATTGGTGTATTTTGTCTAAAAAATGTTAACTTTCTCAAAAAAAAAAAGAGTTAGCATCCTACACAACAACATACCCAGTGTAATCCCACAAGTGAGTTAGCATCCTGCACATAACTTCCTTTACACCAATAATGAAATAACAGTAAGCATCTCATCTTGTTCTTCTGAATTGAGCTGTATCTTCCTTCAAAATACCTGCCATTCCTTTCTCTCCATTAGGTCCACCATATACAAGCTAGGATCATCTTCCACCATTTCAATCCGGCACCTAAAAATATCAGTTGTAGAACTAGGCATATCCCATCTTAGTCCAACCATGTTCAGGAATAGTTGCCATAGCAGAACAGTGAGTCCACAGTGAAAAAATAAGTGGCTGTTATATTCTTCTTCAGTATAACAAAGGTAACACAACTCATCTGAAAGCCCATTTTCTGGGTTAAACAAGCTTATCTAGCTACCAACGAAGTAAAGCAAGCACTTTGAAAAGAATCTTAACTGTGGGGGGAATCTAGCAGGTGATTATATTCTGTGAATGTTTACAGAGCTTCAAATTCATGAAAGAAAATTACTACTGAAGCAGTTCCGTACAAAGATAGAAATATAAGAAAGATGCTTTGACCTTATCACAGATAAACAGTAATTGATATGCTTGGACGCAATGTGCGAAATTGTTGTAGTATTTCATATTTCTTGGAGACTTCATTTCTAGACACACCTTCAAGAGTGTGTGAATAATTCAGATTACTGACTTCTTGATATTTCTAATCAGCTAATCCTTTCAAGACAAGTTTCTGATTCTTTACAATTTTGTCCATGTTGCAGGCATGCTTCATTTGTACAAGAGTCGATTACAACACTACGCCCAGAAGCAAAATCTCACTTTACCCGTGTATTCTTCTGAACTTGATGGCCCTCCTCATGCCCGTTGTTTTAGGTCAAAAGTGACCGTTGACGGGGTAACTTATGAAACTCAGGAGTTCTTCTCTACATTGAAGGAAGCTGAACATGCAGCTGCAAAGGTTGCTTTTGAGTCATTAGCACTTAATGACACTCAGGAGGTTAGTACTCCCTTTTTTCCTGTTAATGTAACAGTCTTTCCTTTTTGGACTTTCCGAATGTTTGATCCATTCTATTTCTATACAACTTCCGTACTTCAAAAATTCAAATTTTGTCAACTGCCCAAATCTTTGAACTTCCATGTGGTATTTTCTCTATCAAATTGACTTTTCATCCACTGTTTTAAGACTTTCTTCTTCTATTCACTAATATAATGTGCAAGTCAATTTAGCACATTAAACATCATGTCCCGTTCAAACACCATCAAGTAAAATGGGAAGGAGGGAATATTTAAATAATTTTAGTTTTACTTCGGTGCTGAGAGATCATTCATGTGAGTACATTTCATTGTTCATCTATGTATTTATTTAATTATTTTTGAATAACATCAGGATGAGGGTTTGTACAAGACACTTCTGCAAGAACTGGCTCAAAAAGAGGCTTTACTTTTTCCAGTTTATGATACAGCCAGAACTGGCCCACCTCATGCACCAGTATTCCGCTCAATGGTGGAAGTTGGAGATGGGACTTTTCAAGGACAAGAAGCTAAAACCAAGAAACAAGCAGAGATGAATGCTGCAAAGGTTGCTTACAATGCCCTTGTGAAACGTAAGGAGGATATACACTTAGTATCATAATTTGCAAGTTTTCTGAATTAAAATTACTTTGATCGGGGTACAAGGGCAAATTACATGGAATTTTATTTAGATAAGAAAAATGATATTTTAAAAAGACAATTTAAAACTAAGCAGGAGGACATGGTGTTTCCAACTAATGAAATTAATAAACTAAAGAACAAGGAAAACTTTGCACATCAATGCTGTTGGAGTTTCATTACAGCCGGTTATGTTAGACCGAAATAATTAGGTGTCATGCTGAAGCTAACAAAGCAAACTTCGAAAGACCACGAGTAAGAAGACAAATGAGAAATATACCAAAAGACACAAAGATTTCATGTGGTTCGGTCAATCGACCTACGCCCACAAAAGAGATGGGCAATCCACTATATAAATATGAGAGTACAAAATATAGAGAGAAATAACACCAACCAATTCACTCAAAACATAAGGAGGTTCACACAAGTGATAATGTATCACTTGTTTACCACAAATTCTCCCCTCTAACCAAAACTCTCAAAGCCCCTAGGACAACATTGTGAATGCTGATTAAGTTAGAAGTAATGAGCCTCCATTTGTAGAGTCCTAAACCTTTTCCTACAAGAAAATGACTAGCCAAATATGGTGATTTTTTTATTTCCTTTTAGGAAAAGAAAAATCTATTTATGGTAAAAAAACTCAGGGCAAATACTCCACAGGTTAAACAAAAATCAAATTACAATAAATAGTTCAAGAAGCTATATCTACACCTAGGGCACCTAGGTGCTTTCATGACTTTCTAATTTTCTACGGAATACATTAAAATCTAAGTGTAACTGAAATGTTGTGTAGACCTAACAGTATTTCCAGTATCTTATTAGTTCACATATAAAAAATTGTTGCTTCCTGTGTAGCTTTCTGTTGTGAACATAAAAGTTTAGTATCTGGTGGAATTACATTGCCATCTCCTTTCAGGTAAAACTAGTCAATCTTAATGTCCAAAAGATGATAAGGCCAATGGCAGACAACAACCGTGGATAGAAAAAGACGGACATGATATTTTAGCCACCGGAGGAAGTATCACTGTAACTAAGCCCAAATATTTGAGTATACCCCTTTGCAACAAGGTGAGCCTTAAGCTGATCAACTTGCGCCATCCACACCAATTTTTACCACATAAATCCAATGACAACCAACAATAGATTTATCTTAAGGATGAGAAACAAGCTCCCAAGTACCACTGGCATCTAAAGCTGATATCTCATCAATCATAGCTTGTCACTGTTCTAGATGAGGAATTATTTCACTTGTAGACTTGGGGGGATGGAAACACATGACAAAGATGATAAAAAGGCATGATGGAACTATGACAACTTAAAAAGGTATAATGGGGGTTAGTATTACGAGGGGATCGTATACCTTTTCAAAGGGCAATCAGTTGACTAGGGGGAGACAAGTCCTTAGTAGATGCATGGTCTCATGCAGGACGTGAATCATCTAAGCTTAATGTTGGATGTAAGCAATGATGGTCAATCAGGAGTGGTGATATTGTGGCTGGAGATGTAAAGTGATAATAGATTCCTCAAAAGTTGGTATAGGTAAGACATGTGAAATATCATGAAGATTTAGTAAGGTCGAGACTTAGAAATGTGACATCAACTGATACCCTTTCTGAACTACGAACCAAGAAATACACATTTGAGAGCATGATGGGCTAATTTATCTTTTCCAAGGGCTAAAATATGAACAAAATACGTGCTCCCAAAAACACAAGAGGGAAGAGAGTATAAAGTTGACTAAGGAAACATTACTGAATAAGGAACCTGATTCTAAATGGAAGATGAGGGCATTCGATAAATCAAGTAGCAAGATGTGAGAACTGCATTGCCCCAAAAAGGGAATAGAACATAGAATCAGATGAGAAAAGTGGGAGCAGTCTCAAAGAGGTGTCTATTCTTTCTCAATACTACCCCATTTTGCTGAGGATGTACAAACAAAATGGCGGATGAATCCTTGGGTGAGTCATAAACGGCTGAAACTGGAGGATATATATTTCAAGGCATTGTGGTAGAAACTAAGATGAAACAAGATGAAAATGATACTTTACTTGTTAAATAAAGTGCAAGAATCTTATACACTGCATTAACCAATAACTATGTCCGTATTGAGTGGACAAATCTCAAGATACAAAGGCAATATTAATATTTTTCTTAGTCAGAATTCTCCTAAATATAAATATTTATACTAAACATAAAGATAACTCCTAATAGATAGAGATAGAAACAATAGCTACTATAGATAATTACTGCTTATATATTTTATCCTTTTTAAAACAAAGAAACTAAGATAGATTATCTCCACATGCTCGTCTAGATTTTATTCTAGAGTAAGTCCGTAAAGGAGCATTCATATCAGTGCATCCCTCTTCAAAAGTTGCCTTGTCCTCAAGGCGAAAAGAAGGAAACAAATTTCTTGGGTAGGGTCGCATGAGGTTTCCGGTCCTCTTAGTGGTACATGTATATGCACAATACCCTTGTAGAGAGGTACCTCGAAACAACGATGTTAGTTACCAGAAATTCTTTGTCTTCTAATTACTGTCTCACTAATTGCTTTGACACCGTGTGAGAAACAAAAGAGTTTGAGTCATTACTCAACTTGATTATTGCCTCAAGCTGTTTTTTTTGTTGGTTTTGTAGTTGTTGGGGTTTTTCGTATTATTTTGTTGTAAAACTGCTTTGTTACTATCTATTTTCTCTTTTACTTCTGTTCTATCTTTTTCTAGACTATTATTGTCTTGAGCCAGGGGTCTATCGGAAACAACCTCTCTACCTCAATTCTAAGGTAGAGGTAAGACCTGCGTACACTCTACCCTACCAGGACCCACTGTGTGGGACTACACTGGGTATGTTGTTGTTGTAGCTATTGGGGTTTAAATAACCATACCATGTTGTAAAAAAGAAAAGAAATCAATACCTAATTACAAATTACAATAGGAGTAAATTAAGTTACCTACTATAATTACTTATTTTCTAAATATTCGCAAAGATTCTAACAATTAGCATAAATTTATGGATTGCTCCTACCCCCCCAAGGAAAATTTTAATATGAAGGCAAGGAGAATCAACTACTAGAATTCAACCGACTCACCCTATACATTCAGGAGACTATGGATTCTGCTATTTTCTGTAGAGAATTACACAGAAGCCTTTTCCAGTTGAAACTTTGTGGATATTTATAGATGTTCTGATATTGATTGTTGGTAAGAAGAAAACCTATAAATGGGGTGGTTGCATGTCTCACTTAATGCATAACTTGCAATAGCTCCACCAGTTGGAATTAAATGGATATAGCTAAGATCTCAAAAAGTTGCATAGGACCAACACACACACACATATACACACACACACACATATAGGGATGTTGCGTGTTCCTTTTGTTTCCTTCTGTAGGATCAATAAGATTGTTTTTTTGAGTTACATGTTCTCTTGATTCCCATGCACTATTCCATAGTTTCCACTGTCGGACAGTTTCTCTATCTTCTCCTATCCATCAGAGTATTCACACTTTCAATCTCTAAATCATTTCTGACCTAAGATGTGTTGGCTATAGCCTTACTATTCCGTTATGTACTTCATCGTATTGCAGATCCGTGAATAATTAATTGAATTTATTGACTGTTTCCTTTCTGATCAGTTAAATGCACCAAAAGTTCCATCACTGCCTCTTCATTATTAGTTTGACCTAGTCTGTGCCCATGAGCTGCCACTTGTTGAACTTGGCTACATCTGCATGAATAAATATGTGATAATGTCGTTTTGTTTGGAAATTATGTGAACAAGATACTAATTGCTTTTACATCATTATATGAGATCAGTTGTTTTTTTCAATCCCTTGTTTGTTTACTTTTGCAATATTGTACAATAAGATTGTTGAACTTCAAGAAAAATGATAGTTGCATCATTTTTAACTCTTACAAAGTGGGGTCAGTACTTGCATCATCAACCATTTCCAGGTGTACAATAAGATTGTTGAGCTTCAAGAAAAATGATACTCCCTTTGTCCAACAATACTTGTCCACTATTGACTTTGCACACTTCTTAAGAAACTATAAATAGAAGGGTAATTTCACTGTATCACCCTTTGAGTATAATAAATATAATGTCTTGAAGAATATAATAGGGAAATAACTATAATTAATCATAAGGGTAAATTAGGAACTAAGTGTAAAATTATCCATTGATTTCATAAAGTGGACAAGTATTGTTGGACATTCCAAAATAGTATAGTGAACAATGATTGCTGGACGGAGGGAGTATTTGCATCACGTAACTCTTACTCGGAGTAGCTTTGAGATAAGATAAAAGAAAAGAAAAACACTTACCTAGATGATTGATAACTATTAAGAGATATTTCTTTATTTATTACTTAAAGCTTATCCAAACCCCACTTTGTGGGATTTCACTGGGAATGTTGTTGTATTAGTTAAAGCTTATTTTTTCAATAAGCAAAATATTTTCTCTCTTCAAATCCAAGAATTTTTTGTTGAGAATGACCACACATTGTCATAGTTTAATCAGCAAATATTGTAATACCATTGTTATTTATATTTTGTGGTTCTGGAGAGACTAAAGTTGTAGAATGCTATGTTTACTGTACTTCTCAAAAATTACTAGTTGTCTACAGCAACATACCCAATGTAATTCTACAAGTGGTCTGGGAAGGGTGTGTTATGTATATGCAGACCTTACCCCTATCTTGGGAGAAAAGGAAGCTATTTCGGATTAACCCTAGGCTCAAGTAAAAGCATTACTAGGAAGTTCGGAAAAAGAGAACAACAGCAAAAAGATACTAAGTTGACTATGAAAGTATAAACAACCTCAGTGCTGGCCATTTGTATCGGGAGAAATATGGCTACTATCCATCTTTTTTTTTTCCATACAAGTAGGAGCATTAGAGAGTTGGTGAATCAATTTTCTTTTAGAAGTAATCCATAAGTATAGAAACCGATGTTTCTGAGGTGATTTCCTTCTAATTAACTTATCATTTCATTGGAACATCTTTGGCTTATCACATAAAAGGTATATTTTCCCACTTCACAATTCAATTATACGACATTTTTCAAATATTTATGCTCAAATATCAGATGAATTATTCAGTCTTTTAAGTTTTTTTGATGAAACCACTTCAACCTAAAGAAAATATCTTATGTTTCTGTTCGAAACCAACATTATTAACCTTGAAGGGTTGGGTTCATTGGCAAGTTCCGAGTCAAGTGTACAATTTCATACTTTTGTGTTACAGGTGGTCAACTAGATGAACCTCTTCATGTCCTTTCAGTCAGTTCAGAATGTGTTGTTGCTGATGTTTCACAACTAGTTGTTCAGCAGAAGACCAAATTGATAATTGAAGAACTAAGTTTGCAAAATGAAGGTGCTTTCTGAAGTCTGCAACCCCTGGATATCATTTTTTTTACTTGTTTTCTGCTTTTTTTGTGATATCTTTCTTTATGTGGAGGCTCTTAATTGAACTAAATTTATAGGTGTCACAGGTTCAGCTGTGCTACTGTCATGTATTAAAAAGGAGAAGACATTGTTGAGATTGCTGATAGAACTAAATTGAGTATCGCTGATGTTTAAGTACTTCTTTAAGGAACAATATAATTTATTAATGCATTACCGCAAAAGTAGTCACAGAGAACAGTTTTCAGAACAGTTCAGTGGACAAAGCCAAACACTGTTTTCTAAAGTAATATCTAATAGGTTTGATAAATGATGTGTCACACTATCAAGTTGGGAATTGCAATGTGACTCTACATCTTTTGGACCAAAATCTCTTTTTGCACAATAACTTAGTGTGGTTGCATGAGGCGTTCTTTAGTAGGTTCTATATCATTGAGGTCAAGATAGTGGAATTTCTATGTATGGACCAACCAGTTTAGTTAGTTTCATCAAGTTGAAATAACATTTATCCTTTAGAACTAAAGAGTTGCATTTCTTCCAACTCAAATCTCCTCTTGTCTTAAAGTGATGCATATTGGTTCCGGCTTTAGTCTTTACAACTTAAACAACATGGTCATATAAGCATATTATCGACTTTGTGTTGCTTCCAATTTATCACTAGCATCAGTTGTCTATTCGTATTATATAATGTGTTACTCATTATTTGACCACTTATTTTCAGAGGCAGACACAAATGCAAAAAGACACAGATGTTCGAATGCACCCAACACATATTCCCTTATCAGGGATCATCGTCCTGCTGCCCCATTTGTTGCTTCAGATTCAACTGATGCAGTTGTTGAGTCTGTTGATTCTGGTACGTATGCTGGAACCAGTATTTTGCCAAGTGAGAAGATTTTCATTTTACCCCGGAAAGCAAACATGGACCTTCCAAGTGGTGCTTCTGTTTTGCCTTGCAGCAACGAAAAATGGGTTGCTGCTAGCTTAGAGTTGAATCGAAATCACTAACTGCAGAAACCCAACTTTGTAATGTTGTTTGATGAATCTTATCTTGATGATAAAGTTCAATTCTGATAATTTTGTACTGGTACTACAATATGTGTAAAAGACATGTGACCTATAGATACAAAAAATTAATCTGTGCTATATTTTTTGAGTAAGTACTAGGTTATGCTTATTAAGAAAATTAACCTTCCGTGGTAATTATGAAAAGGAAGCCTACTGTTGGTGTAGAAAGCAAGAAAAACAAGGACACAACTGGAATATCTTTTGTTAAATCTCTTTAGCCCTAATGCCCAATGTATCATTGGCTACGGGTTCAAATTGTTGCTTTTGAATCTATCATGTGCTAGATCAATTTTGGGTATCATGCACATAATTGACACACACACACACACACATATATATATATATTACTTTAAAAGCATGAACTCCTAACTTGAATGTTAAATTACTGTAATATTCTTAACTAAGGTTGTGACTTTTTCGATGAGTTGTGACTTTTCCGATAAGTTGTGATTTTTTCCAAAGGGTTGTGATTTTTCGATGAGTTGTGACATTTTCAAAGGGTTGTGACTTTTTCAATAGGTTGTGACTTTTTCAAATGGTTGTGACTTCTTGGAAAGGTTATGACTTTTTAGATAAGACACAAAAAAACACGTGTTCATATTACCCTTTGTTGACTATAAATAGAGGGGATCCGGATTCCTCTCATTTTTCGACCATAATTTAAAAAAAAATCTTCTACTCTTCTTCTTCTTGCATTTTAATTTTTTTTGTGTGATTTATTGTCGTTGAGTGAGTTCGAAGTTTAGCGGAATATGGGGCACTAATCTGATGAAGTTAATCGTTCTATCCTAAGAGGGTATAATCCATACCTTCGAGTACTTGAGGAAAATAATTTTAATTATAAAATGATTTGTTTTTGCTTAATATATACATTAGTATGTAGTGTTCCAATATATGAAGTTAACATGATGTAGTCTAATTTCATTTGTTTTTGTTAACAACTTATCTTGTGATGTAGATATGTGCTTAATATCTTTTTTCCAAATTAAGAGAATTGTCATGATGTGTTTTTTTTAATGCTCAAGACAAAAGAACGACTTTATATATCAATGCTACTTATGTGATTTAGATTGTTAGGAAGTTTGCTTCAAAATAGTTATTACTATATAAACATTGCCCTTTTGTTTTACTTATTTACTATTTCTTGATATTTAAGTATTTTTAGACGAAGAGAAGTTCATATGACTTGTAATAACGCAAGTTGAAGTTTGTATTAATTTAATTTTTATTATTCATTTAATAGCCAATTTTTATGAGATAAATATTTTCATTAATGCAAATATATATATTTATATTTTGGTAGGTATTTTTTTATTTAAATTAAAGTATTATATATTTCATAAATGTATTATCAAGTTAACATGATCTTCTAACTTCAAAATATATTATTTTAAAACATTTCGAGTTATTTTCTTTAAAAAAAACACTCACAACAAATGTGAAAATATGTGAATATATATGAATCATTTAAAACTTATCATTTACAAAATAAATTTTATATTCACTAATATGAAATAAACATTTACATTTAGTCCCTACACTAAATTAAAATCTAATAACTAAAAAAAATAGTAACATTAATTAAAAGTCCTATTTATTTATGTAAGTATAAAATTTATTAGAAATTCATCTATTGCACATTAATTCTTTAGTTATAACATTATAAATTCTCTTAGTTATTACTAATTATTGTAAACGTTATTCATACTCTTTTAAATTCTTAGGTATAATATTAAGAATTCAATAGTTATTACAATTATAATTCTATCTTTCATCTTTCCTTATATTAACTTTTGACCAATAATTGTTCATATTATTAAACCGCCCATATATATGTGATAACACGGTGTTGTTGTTTTTTCTTTGATGAATCATACTTGGTTGAATAAATTGAAATAATTTCAAAGTATATGAATTATATCATTGTTGGGTGTAAGATGAACAAGTGATTATATATATGATTTCACACATAACATATATTCTTTAATTTAATTTTTAGTTTTTTCCGGAAATAAAAAAGAAAACCTTTCTCAGTTAACTATAGTTAACTATGGACAGTCAGATAACTATCTTTCATTTATGTACACAGTCAATCGAGAAGTCAAGTATGAAAGCCAACAACAAGAACATCATTTATTATGTTATAACTTATAA